GTGGATTCTGCACAAATTTGTCATGCTGTAAAGAAATTTGTGTTCAAATCATCGTTCTGCGTCCGCTATGTGGGCCACCCGGTGGGCCGCATCGTTCGCGGCAGTCTAGCTGTTAGTACTCTGTACCATTTGCTATGTTTTGTCTACGAATACTCCTTGTATGCCACACTTTCGTCAGAAATCACATAACTTTTTTCAAGTAGACTATGTGTGTTGGAGTTTTACGGGTACCAAAGTTGTTTTAACAGTAGTGAGGGCTATCAATAAGACGACTAATGTCGACACTCAAATTAGATTCGTCTTTTTAAACAGTTCTATTAAATTCGCCATCAACTGTAGCCTGTACTGCCTCACTCCTATTGCATCTTCCTGCCACAGACAACTTAATAAAAGCGGGTGCCACACAGCAGTCGTTTTCTTGACCGGCTTACTCTGTCAGCCAGCTCACGAGGAATGTACATATATATCGCCTTTTAAACATCCTCCCTCCAGTCCGCGTTGGTGTAAGCCTCATTCGGGTTTTTAACGGTGGGCTAAAAGTAAATATCGCTTTACAGCAGGCGAAAATTCCACAGACTTGCGTTTGTCTTCTTTCTGTACAGTTTGCATCAAGTTTTGCACCGTGTATTGATTTGCCTTTCTTTCCGCCTCCGTTAGTATGGCCTGCATCCGCGCTAGTCCCGGTTCAGATCTACGTCTATTCATAGCCAACACCACGGTGACAAGGCTGTCAGAAATCGTCACTGATTCAGATGCGTTAAAGGCTACAGTTCACGACCTTGTCGCCAACGATTGTGCTGCCCTAGCTGAGGAGGACTTGGGCAAAGTGCCGGCGGCGGCCCGCGTGGACAGCCCCTCTAGTCAGCGTCAGCGGGATTTCCGAGAGGTCGACCTCTCTCGGGTTCCGGGCCCTCACTCCATGGCGAAGGTCGAGGCAATTTTAACCTGTCTGACTTGAGTACATCTGCCTTCCCTCTCTCTCTCTCTCTGACCTTCTTTTGTTGCATCTCTCGCCTTCCATCTCACGACTCTTGTACAGTATTTTTAAATCTACTTTTTGTACTATTCTGGACTTTTCCTTTCTTCGATATGCGAGCAGAAAAAATAGGCCCTTAGAGTGAGTGATGCTGCTGCTGCTGTCTCAGACCTAGAGGAGGGCCGAACGAGGTTGCTTGTGCTATTTTACCCTTTTCCGAGGTCTTCCCTTGCGCCCCATATCGGTTCTGCTACGCCTGCCCGGGGCGAGTACGAAGCAGAGGTGCTTCCGGTACCGCTCGACTCGTCTCCAGTGTTGCTGCTTTAAACTATTATAGCTTGTTTCATGAAATGTTGACAACTGTGTTTTCGATTAGAAATAATTACTTTTTGTTGGCCCCCTGCTAAAATTACACTTGGGAAAAAATGACAACTCAAGTAGTTCCCATTGGGGTTCGATGCGTTTCAACATTCGGGCATACGTTATAGAAAACATGAGTACAATTATTCATTCTTGTACCTATTTGGTAGTAAATTAAGTCTTCTTTAAGTTCTATGCTTGAAGAAGGAGTATCTTTAAGTTTAGGAAGTAAAGCATCGCGAAACTCAACAGGACAATGAACTCTTGGACTTCCGATAAACAGGTCGCGAGTTCAAACCTCTGGGGTTGAGTATGGTCGGCTGATGACGGCTAATAAGCCGAGAATTGCCATTCCAGTCTAACTTGCCCCTGTTGACAAAGTCCTTTAGGATTGTATCTATCCGTGACTTGTGAAACATTGGCTGCATTGACTGAACATTTTCTAACTACTATATCAAGTATTCTTAATGTTGTAAGGAACTGTATGGTTTTCCCTACATGGAAGGTATATGGCATGTAGTTTAGGCGCCCTAAGCGTAGGTTGGATTCAAAGATATTCCG